GGTTTGGTATTAGTTTTTTTTTATTATTATTATTCCCCATATCACATCATTCAAATATCTCAACAAGGAAATGTTCTAATTATGACAACTTAGAACAATTACAGTATATACAAATATGGATTTTATTAAGATCTACAGATTAACACTTGTCACAAATGTATACTGTACTGTATTAGTAAGCTGGTAGTGATAGCAAAAATAGATAATTGGTTATTTGTGTTGGGGTCTCCCGAGTGTGAGGCAAGTCTAGATTTATTCGAGGTTTTCCACGTTCATCATTGCATAGTTTTATAAATACTGTACACCTAATGTAGTAGGGAAAAAGCAATGGTGATAAAAATGTGAATACAGTAAATAGTTCATAGAAGAATGACAGCAGTGGGGAAACTGTGCCATTATTAAAGTTAAACAAATATTGTCTAGGTAGTTCTAGAAGCTCAGTGTTGTATTGCTTATGTAGCATTCTCATCTCCCCAGCTAAAGGATTACTGTAGGTAGGATACGGCCAAGACATCCATCCGTCCATGTTGAAATTATTTTTCATTCGATATTTTCCCAATGATTGAGAAGTGATTCCAGATTTAAAACAATATACAGTACTGTAGAAGGTGTTTGATGGTAATTGTTGGACATGGTGCTAACACAAGTAGTAATTTAGGAGTTGTGCAGGTACCTATCTTAAGTTGTTTGGGGAGGGGGCCCTCACATCCACCAGTCCGATCACTTTTCATTACTAGTTATGACAGTTGAATTAGCATCATGGGGGTGGGGCAGGATAGTGAGACAAATGTACCAAGTCTTTTGTAATACTGTAGCATCTTGTATGAGGGGACCAGGAACTTCCTATTCAGCGGCATGATTTCTCAAACTTTCGGGGTCGATATTATTGTTATTATAGGAAAGCTTTTGGGTTTATATACATTTTATCCTCTAATCTCTGTCTATATTACAAATGGTTACTCCTGCACATTTATGTATCATTAGAGGTTGTACTTTGGTGCTTGGATGATATGCCTTTTCAATAAACTAGGTAACTGGACACCCTATATGCACCCCTGTGAGGATATATCTAGTATCATATAAATTTATCAGTCAAAAGCTTTATAGATTCAATTAATCGTGTAATAAAAATGAACTTTTGCGCGACATTTTTTATACTACTATAACTATGCTCATATATGCTCTTATATTTATATAGTTTTTCTTGGGTTAAATATATTTTTATATAATGCTTGATATATTCTTCAGGCTTACAGCTTTCTGTATCCTCACTAATAAGAAAAGTTTGCTTCCACCTGCTACATAGATCTGTAGCTTTGAATTGATTTGCATTGATAAAGAAAATTAATGGGCTCCATGGATCTTTCGGTAGCACTCTTTAATCCCAGTTGATGAGACAGTGGTTGAATCCCATGCTCGGCAGTTATTTGGGTGTAATATTGTTTTGATGTGTGCTAAACTGCCCAGTATGTCAGTGTCTTGGGATAAGCTCACCCTTTTTTTACTGGAGGCTTGCCACTCCACACATTGTGGAAAATGCCCTAAAGGATTTTACCTTTAAAGAAAGTCAAGAAGACGAACACTCTCACTGGATATGATTTTTCCTGTAATACGTTGGGTAATTCAATGATGTTAGTTTAAAAAAAAAAATTAAAGGGAATCCATTTGACAGTTTTGCAATGAATTATTTAATCTAGAAACAGGGAACGCACTTAAAATTTACATAATTCATGTATATGGGAATAGTAGAGTAACATAGCATGAATTGTTATTATCCAGGATCCTAAAATAAGGTGACTGGTCAAATGGGCTCTAGTCCTAATAAACTCCGTCTGCTGGTCTCAACCGAACCTAACTTCACCAAATTAATTGTAATTGGCCTCAGGCATAATGATTAGGTTAGGACAAGTTGGAATCTAGTAGGACTGACCTACTAAGGACTCTTGCTCATTAGACCTGCAATCCTTCAAAAGACCATAATGATTATACTGTACTCTAGATTATTAGAAATGAATATTAAGCTTTCACCCATATACAAAATACATTTGTTTGTGTATACAGAAACTTCTTTTCATTGGGATTTAAACCAAGGACTGAGGATGAAAATTTCAGGTCATAACCACTGATACTGGGCTAGACCTTATTCTTAATGGCTAACTGGAGTGTTTTATCACCTGGGGTTCACATCCTGGTAGTCCTGGGATCAAGCCCTCATGTGGTGATGTTTCTCTTCCACCCAAACATGAAGCTGAGACATCCATCTTGAATGTTTGTCTCTACTCTTTAACTCACAAGTTGTACATTATGGAAGATAGCAAGTCTGGTCGATGGGTCCTGGAAATGTATGGCAATCTTGCGTAGTAAATGAGTCTGCCTTGTTCTTCACCGTGGGTTGTGGCCATCTATGTACCACCACCTTCCATTAGGGCTCGCAACGGCTTCAGGTATGTTTGATTTGGTTTCCCTTGCTGTAACCTAGTAAACCCTTGATAGATGATAACCATGTGTAGTGCTGCTCAGAGGTCATAGGGAATAGCCCTGTGTAGCAGTTTTATTAGTAAGCCCATCTTTACCACATACCAAAGGCTTTGTATATGCATACAGACAATGCATTAATACCAGTTTTGGTGTGTAGTGAAAAGGGGATTAGTGTCTCCTATAGATTCTTATGGTAGTAGGTGTTGGGTTTTTTCTTATTTCCATTTACCTGTATTCCAATGTATGGAGGCAGACCTCAGTCTTGTCATTGTGTTAGTGTCTACCTTCTCATGATATTTACCTCCCCCCCCCCCAAATATACACATTGTTGAAACATGTTTAAGCTTGCTTGTTTTTTTTAATGTATGGTTTTATTTTGCTTTTTATGTCAACAGACAACTGTCTCAGGCTTTTCTGCAGTTTGCATGAAACTGTTCGGCCTTCTTTTTTCCTCTTTGTTTGTGTGTGTGTGTGTGTGAATGAACTGCCTGTGTTATTTCTGTTAAATAGTTATTACTCGTAAAATTCAGGCTTTAAAACTCCCAATTTTCCAGTCATGTTTTCATTTTGCAATATACTGTGTGATTACATTTAAATGATAAAAAATTCATAAGTTAACAAAATGATTAAATTCAGTAAGTTTTGTATGTGCATGACTGACTAGAAAGCATGGTGATAAGCAGTATATTGTATATGAAAATGAGTGTAATTCTGTGTTTTATGAAGTAAAGATCTGGGCTTCTTTTATGGAATGGGAACATCTGCAGAACACTAATGTGGTGGTTATGAGGAAGCAAATGCCAGGAAAAGAGTCCCTGCAGTATGATGTAAAATGGCTTGCAAGAATGAAAAGTATGGGACTACTATTTGACATTTCCATAATGATCAGGTTACAGTGAAGTACAGTATGTATGAATGATAACTAAAATGTTAAGAAAAATATACATAAATTGCAAGTTCTTCAATATTATTTCAGGAAAGGAAGCTAGAGAATAAAAGATTTAAATGCTGTAAAATAAAGTCATTCACAAGTAAATTGCATAAATATTTTAATGAGAGAATAAAAGCAACTTTCAAACAAAACCATTTGGGAGGAAGTTGGATGATAGAAGATGTTAAGTGTAACACATGTTGGTTTAATCACTGTGAATTGAAGTTAGAAGAGAACTGAAGTGGTCTGTACCGTGTAAGAGTTGGAAACATTGCCGAAAATAGGAATATAAGATTATCTTTATTGGTCTCTCACTCCTGTAGGGTGTAGATAAAGAGGTACAAAAACTTAAGAGAAATAATGGAAATGACAAGGGGGACAGACTTTTGAGTTCAGTAGCGTGACCGGACAAGGTTGGTTGGGCAGTATTGTGCAATGAGCATTTGAATTGGTCATGTCAATATTGTACCCTAACCTAAGTTAGCTTTTCTTGCTTGGGAGTTGCCACCCAACAATTTGGGAAATTGCATAAATGATATTTTGCATATTGTATATCTCATAGGTCGATGCAGCCAAATTCCACTTGTTAATACCTCAGTAGCTAGGTTTTGAACCCAGGACCTCTGTGAGGGAATTAGGAGTGTTAATCACTGCATCACAAGATTCTTTATGGTGCAGTGGTTAACACTTCTGGTTCCCACATGGAGGTTCTAGGATTAAGTCCTGCTTAGTGAAATATTGTTTATTTCTGTATACTATATGTTTAGGCCACTTGATAGTCCTACATATTATTCCCAGTTGGGCATAAAACTTGCTTCAATTTTGCACGATGGTAACCAGGACACCATGCCATCAGGTAATCAAGGCTAACCCGCACAAGTGTGGAGAACTGCCAAAATACTGTAATGATGGCTAATGATGATAGGTAATTTGTTTTTTACACATGACAGTAATGCTACTTCACAAATATCGTGTTGGTTATTTTCCAGAATTAATTGTCGTCTGGAAGGTTTGAGTTGGGCTCTTTTACCACATGGAGGATACCATTTATACATAATTAAATACAGTATTAGGAGTTTAGACTTCATTTCAATTTTATAAGTAATGTATTATGTATTGAACTTGTATTTTTTGTTTGCTAAAGATTTTGATACTTGGTGATAAAATTACAAGCCTAGGTTGAGAGATACAGTACAGGTACAGTACAATACAGTAATTCCCATGTGGTGACCATATTAAAAATTGACGTCTTAACCTTGATGTAAACAAGAGTGTATGTGAAAATTTGTGAATCAAAGTATTCTTGTTTCAGATGAGACATTGATTATACAGTGTATTGGAATCACAGGCAGAAAGAGTGAAAACATCCTAATTATTAATATGAAGCCTCAAAGGTGTCATTACCTGGGTATCAAACTTGAGTATAATTGTTTAATTACTAGTTTTAACATTGTCTCTAGATACTCGGCAATTTTAAGATTTGTTACTTTTTTGTGTTTGAATACATGTACCGTACACAGTTTCTGGTTTATGTAAGGGAGAAGTCTTATAGAAGTGATATGAATTTAAACATATTTTCTTCCTCCCTTAGGCACGAGACGGTCCACATGTAACGCCAGATTGAGACAACAGGTGTCGTAGGATCAACAAATGCACTCTTGACGATCCACTCTTAACACCTGAAGAAGACAACGACTATCGCAAGATCAACAAAACACTGCTACATAATTGGCAGAACGTAAAGTGTTGCCTACTTATAAATCAAAGGTTGAGTGTCTATTGGTGAAATGATAAAAGATAAACTGTGTGTTGTGGACGTGATTTATTCTCCATGTGCGCTGTTTTGGGTACGTCTGATGCAGCATGGGGTTAATTATTTTTTATACAAATTATTTCAGTGGCGTAATCTACACATGTGAGCCTGTATCATGTCATGAAATTAACCCTTTCCATACCATATGATTAAATAACTATATTTATCAAGGGCTATTGCTGTCATTCATACAGTACTAACTTAGTCATGTGGTAAAGAAGGCGTTAAACAATTACTAAAAATTCTATAATGAGATGTATCAGTCAGCCAGAAATGGGGAAGAAAGCTTAATTGCAAGAAAATTAATCATCCATAATTTTTTTTAGAGTTCTGTTTATTTTGTGAAGTTATCTCCAGTATTTGTTTATATACCAGACTGAATTCTGATGTGCAAATGTGATGTGAAAGGAAGTTATCTATGAACTAAGCTCCACCCACTTTTGGCTTCCTTACCAATTGTGATAATTCATGAAATTGGTTAGGTGCTAAGTGAGTCATGACATCAAATTGGCAAAATCATGTGCATTAACCTCTTCATTGTTTAGTTTTAACTTGGAAAAAATTATTCTTTTAAACTATGGAAGAGTGAAGTGCCATTGAATCTTGTCAGTATGGAAATGCAACTTGTTTGACCATCAACAATCAGTAAACTTCTCTAAATTGTACTGGAATGGTTGGTGAAGAAGCTAAAAGGGAGCAAAACTTAGGCGAGAGGTCACTTGTGTGGGGAAAGTGTACTGTACTTTAGTGAGTAGTATCCTGATAATGCTTACTGTACAGTGAAGATCTAGTGTAGTGAACATTCAGAAGAAACTGGTCGAGTGATTTTACCAAGGATTTAATTTTTTTTTTTCATGGCCTCAGAGGAGCTTCAAACAAGTGCCATTGTCTGTTCCACTCACTGAGGTATTTCCCGATTGCTTTTTTATTATTATTATGATGAAATGCTATATAGGAAAAATACCCTGGTTTTGTTATAATTTAGCTGGTTGAGCAGTTTCTAAACATGTTGTAAAAGTTATGGCATTTAAAGCTTATATCAATTCATTCTAGACTAAAAGAACATAGGTACGTGTATGTGTGAATGCATCTTCCCATTTCTGTGTAATATAAGGAAGTTTGGAAGACGGGAACAAAATGTGGATGTGAAAATTAAGATTAGTTTTCATTGGTCCTGGGAGTCCTCACTGGTATAAGAGAGGTGCGTCTCTCACTCCATCTTCATATTCCTATCAAGACTTATTTTAGCCACATATAGTCAGTCCAATGCCCACTTTTCTGGTACTAACGGATTGTTTTTCATACATGAGGGGTGCCATAGTTTTTCAGGTGCAGTTTGACTATGCTAGTGATCCGTGGAGAGAATTTTGAGGCCTTTTTCAGGGTTTTGGATAAATATTTGAAACAGTTGAATTCCCAGGAGAAAGAAACATGTGTTTTCACCTTTGCTCTTTATAGAATTTGAAATTGTATACAATTATATAAATATAGTAAAACTCTGAGATGTAGAATTTCTGTAATACTAGTGTTAAACGGTGTTCAGACTTGTCATAATGAACTGTAACAAACTACCTACCAAGTGAAGATCTCAGATTCATGCTGAATATGTTGTGAGTGGTGCCTCTTGTGCAGCATGTTTGTCAGTGTTTTATTTATAATTGATAATTGTCATATGTTAGTAAGTTTTGATATTTGGTTATCTGAAGCAAGTGTTAGGTGAACAGGAGTTGAACAGCATGGAAAATTTGTAATACCCCGAGTTGACCGTGAACAAAATGGGGGGAAAATGGATATTGAGATCCATTATAGGGTAGAAAATATATATTTTTTCAATATTGGCTTGTTGTTTCTTGTACTCGGAGAACAGTTTCCAAGGAAGGTAAAGGTACTAATGTACTTTATCATTTTCTGACCGATTTTGACTTATGGTATAGCAGTACACTGTATTGACCCGGATAACTATGATTAAAGCAAAGTTCAGGCTGCTGATATAGAATTACTGTGAAGGGTGACTAGATTTGTTAGATTGAGAAATGTCAGTACAGTACTGTATATGGACTGAACGTGTGAGTCTAGTTTATCCTCGCATTTGTCGAACAAATCCAATTGAAATGGTTTTTGGTTTGATAGGAGACTGGATTAGATGAAATTTGAATTAGTGTTTTTTGGGTAGTATCTTGATGGGAAACGGAAAAAAAAACCGAAAGAATGCATTTGATTTGTTATTGAAGAACTCGGAAAACAAACTCAAGAAGCATTGTGTATTTAACAAACATGGAAAGCATTTGAGGATAGACAGCAGACTGGAAATCATACCTACCTGGTGGATAGTGAGACAAGCTGTTAGTATTGCTCGGGACTCACAGCCCTCAAAATCTCGTTCAGTTTCTGGTCAGGTGGGATTGGTGGGAAATATTCCATTGGGGCATTCAATGAGCTGAACAGCAGCCTCATCATTGTCCTGAGTTGAGAATGGTACACCAGAAATAGCCGAGATGATATTTGTTTTTGTTTTGTTTTTATATGTAAGTATCAATTTGAGGGATAAATTCTCAGGGTCATGTTAGTATTATGAAGGTTACAAGCAAGTCATTATAGTGGAGTTCGGAGATTGATTAAAATACGTACATTTCTAATTTGGAGTTTGATAAAGAGACGAAGCATTGGTCTGAAAAAATAGATTACTTACAACATTAGTGTATTACCATAAGCAATATACCATTTGACATATTAACCAAAGTGATCCACCCGCACCCTCCACTAATTTATCAATGCCATTACAACACATTACACATCATTACTCCTTATCTACCATACCTTATCTCTCTTGTTGTCTGCCCAAGGAAAATTTAGAGAGATCTTTAAACACCTCAACAATAAGCTATAGACCTTTATCATTGTACATACATTTATACTGAAAATGGACCTGAAAACCTAAGAGGAGCAATGCATTCTTGTGTACGGTACATCACTAGCAGCACATGAATAAGGTTGAGAATATTTTTAAAAGGGTATCTTAGTATTTGATTGTAATAGGTTTGTTCCCCATAAAGCTTTTGGTGTTGTGTTCCAGTTTAGGATAGAAAAGACAACATTTTATCCTCATCTCCAATTCACTGTTACTGCCCTGCTTGAGTGGTCCTTTCTGTCAATATGTCTACTTACATCTATCTTACTGTTTTAGACTGCCTATCATAACTTTCTGTAGTTCTTCTATACTGTAATACTCAATCTGACTATCCTCAGAAAATATAAACTTCAGTATTAATATTCCATTCTTGTTTTTAACTAGCATGATTTTGTTTTATTCTCTGTATGATAACTGGTTGGAAGACATGTCCTGATTTTTAATGCACTGGATATATCATTATACTGGTTATTCTCTGTATGTAATGTATCAAGTGCCTAAAATTCAATAGCCTCTTTGTCTTATCTAATCTATCTGTGTATACATTCTAGTGTGTTTGTAATATTTGCAAAACACAACCACCCTGCTTATATACTACTAACATACTTTAATTACATCTTTCAAGTCACACGATTGAATTTCCTGTAGTTGGAGCCTTTTAGGAATGGGTTTCCCACGTGACTTGTAGCATAACACCTCCTACATTACCACCTGCTCCGTTGTTTGAATTTCTCTGTCAACCACCGCAGGACAATATAATTCTTATCTTTTTTCTGGGGCTCACATAAGCACAGTGACAAAGCATATATCCTACCTTATACAGTATTGCCCTTCCATGACTTCCTCAATTCACAATTTTTTTTATACATGTGCTTTAAGAGGTCAAATCAGGAATGCAATGTTGGCATAATCATGTTTGGGAATCTGTGTGTGTGTGTTTTTAAAGAAGACATTTACAGTGCGTCAGTGGATACAGAAGTTTGTCATACCAACTTTGAATCCTAGGTTGTAAACTACAATAAAATCAAGATATGTGTTTCAAGTTTTGGGTTCAAAGTCAGCATGAGGCAGATATTTGTAACCATACACACACTTTAAATCTTTTATTTACACATGTACACTCACAGGTGAAAAAAATAGTGTCATGTTAGCTTTGATCCCCTGATTTGTTGTCAATCGGTGGCACCTCACTAATATAGATGGTCATCTTCCTGGGAACTGGAAATGAATGAGTGTCTTTGTTGCCTTTGTATAACAGTGTGTGCCTGTAGAATTGAACTTTGATATTGTATTGCTATTGCAAGTATTGAAATGTTAGCTCTGTACAGTGACATCCCTTGTGATATACCTATGTCTGTCTTTCAAAACCTTCCATCATGTCAATAACCTCCCCCACATCAGAAAACCTCTGTAGTTCTCATCATCACTTGATGTGCTAACTCTAAACATTGATATCAAGGTCAAACCTTGCTGGGAATATAATTGTGCTACACATCGAATTCATAACCTAGGTATATTCCTCTTATTGTGACTGTTTTAAAATTTGTTTGCTGCTTGCAGTTAGAGTAGTAGCTATTTTCATCATGTTAGAGGATGTGTTTAAATTGAGGATACAATGAAGTTTGTGTTGGTATTTGTATTTGTTAACAGAGCCCTTTTGTGTCACTTCTGCACTTACACCACACACACTATTATTTTTACCTCCTCTGAGGCTTTTGTGCCTCATGGTCCACGACATACTAAAGTGGAGTAGTAAATTAGGAGCACAAATAGATAGCAAGTTGTTTTTACTGTAACTGGAATTCTTGTATAGATAAGGGTACATCATCTAGAAGCGCCATGTTTAAACAGTCTAAAAGTAGATTTTTCCCATGCATTTATGAACATAAGAAACTGCACAAAGCAAGAGGGGCTATTATGGATGAATTTTGTATTTAGTGAAATTTTTTTGCCACAATTATTGCGTTGACTTCTCGGAGGGTGAAATACTCGTAGGTGAAGCACTATGATTCAATCGATGTATTATCACCCCAGAACTTTTCAAATACTAGCAATATACAATAGGAAGAGCCTGATCTGATAGAGTACTGTAGTGCAATATGTCACTAAAATCAACTACTGTACTGTATATCAAAACAGAATGGAATTTTAAGTTGGTGTACAGCTTAAATGATAGATTGCAACTTGAAAATAGGAACAACAGGAATTTATTTTAGAGAAACCGAGTGTTGAGAACCAGGTTCCTAAAGAGAGATATTAGCACTCAAGTGTCAGTTGTGGTTGTTGTTAGGCTGTTTATTGAGTTTATTTATAGTCTCTTAATTTTAATGTGTATTATGCATTTAGGATTTCTTCATCATACAAGATGCCCTCATCAGTACCAGCTAAATTTGGTCTATACTGTACCAGGCTAAGGTTCACTCATACTGTACATGGCTGCACATCATGTTTGTTATCTTCCCCCTGGCTTTATAGCATCGTAGTCACCATACTTTAACTGTTCACTGGTGAGCCAATTAGAAAGCCTGGGTAACTACAACTGTATTAATGTGGAGGTGGAGGGTTACTGCTGTTACTCCAACCTCAGTTTCTAGGCCATAGTGCTTCCCAGTAATGTTCTAGATGGTAAATGGGTTATACCCTAATATATGAGTCCTGTTTATTCTGCCGAATGCCACTACCTTAATACAACCAATGGTCAGGGAATGATAGCAACATTTGAGGCAGACATTATCTCATTCCTTGTAGCTACTGACAGTCCAGTACTTGTCTTAAACCACTTTTTCTCCTGTCGAATACAACAGAATACTAATTCATTTTACTTAAGACCAGCCTCTCCTTGGTATAAATGAGGGTAACTTGCATGGCATAGATTTCAAATAATGTTCTTACAAAAAGATTGATGTGCCTAAGTGACAATGTACATAAGATTGCCTTAGCACCAGTTTTGTAACTCCCTATTATGAAAATACAATCTGATAGAGGAAATCAGTTGAAAACCACGTTACTGTTAGTACAGTATATTCCTGAAATGCCTCCCCCTATTGTACATTAATATCTACATATTTAGTAAAAGAAAATTAACATTACGAAATAATCAGAGGAACTGCAGCACTCTTGCCAAGGCAACAATAAGCTGGTACAAATAACTGGTAGTAAAGGCTTGCCTTGTTTTTGATGTGCCTCAGTCACTTTGCTCCAAGATTACATGAATGACATTTGAAGCTATATAATCAGCTTGAGTGTTGGCCTTAAAAAAAAATTCTTGCCTCTCAATGTCCAAAACTGGGTGTTGAACTTCCTGCAAATACCATGCCCATGCCTTTTTTTTATTTTTTTCTCTGTATTTTTTCTCCTCTTTCCCTTCATCATCCTATCCTGTTCCTTTCTCCCCTTCTTTCCATTCTGCCTCCTCCCTCTCTTCTTTCCCTTTCTCCTCTCCTTATTCTCTTTCCTTCCTTCCTTTCTTTCCCTTCTTCCTCCTCTTTCTCTCTACTTCCTCGTCCTTCCTTTAGCTTTGTCCTGTTCTGGTGACCCAGCTACCAAGATGCCAGGCATTTTCAGGCTGTGGTTTTAATGTGCCTAAAACTTATTTAACCGAGATCTGCTACATGATTTTGGAGATCCGAGGATAAATTTGTTCCAAGACTCACAGCACAAGGGATAAAGCAGGGTTTTATTTAGTTCATATAATAAGTTCTACCACGGGGGAAGGTAATTAAGTAATGAAAACATGTGAGGAACATACATCTGTTGCATCTTAGTTGTATTTTAGTTGGTGTAATGTTAAGTCAGATGGCCAAAGTGAAGGCGATGTGTTCGGCATAATCATCTGGGGTATTTTAAAAAGTCTAAATCGGTAGCGTTTCCAATTTCAATTTCCTGCTGTGATAAGAGTCTGTATAATTAATGTGTATCACCTCTTAACAGTGATGGGAGGACCTACCTGATGTGTACAGTGCTTGTGCAGGTCAAGATTATTGTACTTGTGTTGGCACACTTAAGAGCAATGTGCGATGTAACGGTAATTTAGCACATTAAAATAATTTGGTATCAGTGAATTTTTGGTACAGTATTTCATTGAATTACGGACACTGTCATTAATATACTTCAAATACAGTACTGGTTCTCATTGCATTACTAGTACTGTACTGTCAAGGAGATAATATAGTACTCACAGAATTACTAGTACAGTACTGTCATAAGATTACTAGTGTAGTACTGTACCATCTTTAAGATTACTAGTACTGCCATAAAGTTGACTAATACTGCCATAAAATTACCAGTACTGTCATAAGATTACTAGTGCTAGCCTTTCATTACTGGTACCATTATTGCATTAGAGTAGTACCAATACGATCATAGAATTCCTGGCGCACGGATGATATGTGTTACAGTGAAGCTTGGTGGTTGTGAAGATCCATGGATATGATGACTTAAGGTCAGATATAACTTATTGTATGTGATAATTATTTTGTGATTACAGTATAAGAAGATAATATTTTATATGATTAAGTGTGCACCAGTATTTAGATGGTAATAGAAAGTTAGAGAGTACAGTTACAAATATATGCATGACTTTTCACCAGTAAGTGTTTGTGGCATTATATATACTGTACCGTGTAAACATTTAAGGAATATCGTGGTCTTGATGACATTGATGTTGCAATATTAGAAGAATTTCATAATACATACAGTGGAGATTTAGTAGTAAGTTATGGTCAAGATATATGGTTAAAGAGATTACTGTTATGTGAATTAGGGACATGCAGGATCTGTGAGTGGTAGTTGGGATTCTATTTCTAAAGATCTTTGGGACTTATTTATAAGTCTACATAAGTATAACCAAATTTTAACCTAATCGATCCTGCAGATTTATTCTAAGCATTCAGGTTCTGGCCCCAAGGATTAATAGTACCCAAGATCTTTGCTCCTAAAACAACAAGTGGCAGTGTCACGTTCATTATAGTACAGGGGGTACTTGTATAGTGAAAATAATTATAAACTCCAAATCCTTAAATTCTCTGATAAAGTGTTTAGTTTGTGCTATTATCAAGCCTTTTATTGTGCCACTTTTAGTCTTCTACAAAAATTAATCTTTTCTCGAATTTGAAAATATGAAATGGAAATGCCTTGTTTATTTTTGGTACAATAGTTGAATTATTTAGGTAAGTTTTGTCACCAGGAGTGATGGGTATTTAAATTACACTTCATGTCCATATGTGCCTAATGAACCATAAGGTCAGTGGTCCCAGGTCAAGTGGTCCCAGTCCTAATGGGTCTGATCTTGATGACTAAAGAAAATGGAGCCATTTAACCTGCAACTATTGAGATCACTTTTTTATATGTACTCGTTTTTTTTACTTTTCTCAAATATTTGTGATTTAATGTAAGGATTTTTCTTCTACATTTAGATGATTTTGTCTTCTGTTAAACAATTGCTAGAGAGAAAATGCACATAGTAAAGGTCACAGCCAAGATTTAATTATAAGATGTAAAAATTTTGTTGTCTTTGTGATAAAGAATTTTGATCTGCTTGAATTTGATACAGTAATTGTGGAATACACTATATAATACAATACTGTACTGTCATCATTTTGTTACTTTAGGAGTATGTACAGTACAGTATTGACTTAACATTTATAGGTACTGTAATTGATTCAAAGAAAAATCAGTTGAAATATCTAAACAAATATGAATGCAAACCAATGAAAAGACAACTTTTATTTATATCCACTATCTAATTTTTTTTGTGTTGAGGTTTATCTTCAAATTTAATGCAACTGTCTTGAAAAGCATAATCTGAGAAAATTTTGACTAGATATAATCAGAATGAGGAGTTATTGTTTCATTGGGAGAGGAGGAATAGGAGGAGGCTTGGATAACAAAAAAAAATACTGTAAAAGAAAAACAAGTTCATGATATAGAAAGTTGTAAAGATGTCCGTGTAGAATCAAGAGAAAGCATTTGTTTTGGTCGACGGAAATGGATTTAGTGTAATTATGCCTCCAAGATATGGCATTATTTAGTGTATTCCCTGAAGAAACTCACTTCAGTAGGCATATGCATGTACAAAACTTTACAGCCAGGCAAATAAAAATCGTCATGAAATTTTTACTTAAATAGAGGTAGTGAATGAGGAGTCTTTTGTGAACAGTTTTATTATTGATCTTGGTGATGCACTGTAGTACCTGTAGCTCACTAATTACCCGACCTGGAACCTAACCTAATCTACCTACTCTAGCCTAATCTACCTACTCTAACCTAATCTACCTACTCTTAACCTAATCTACCTACTCTAACCTACCCTACCTACTCTAACGTACCCTACCTACTCTAACCTACTCTAACGTACCCTACCTACTCTAACCTAATCTACCTACTCTACCTACTCTAACCTAATCTACCTACTCTTAACCTAATCTACCTACTCTAACCTACCCTACCTACTCTAACGTACCCTACCTACTCTAACCTACTCTAACGTACCCTACCTACTCTAACCTAATCTACCTACTCTAGCCTACCCTACCTACTCTAAGCTAACCTAACTTACCTGTACTCTTACCTATCCTACTCATTCTAACCCACTTATGGTTTTAACAAGGAAATTCAGGTCCAGGGATTAATCTGACCCATTACCCCCTGTTAAAAATGTCTGTACTTAGTTCATGACTGATAAATCAATGTTTTTAAAGGTATATTTATTTCCTAATACGTAGTGTACTGTATTTAGCCAATTACCACCCCTAATTTTTCTACCCTTCATTTTTTTCTGAAATGAGTGAATACCTGTATGCAATTTTTCAGCTGAACCTTGATCTGGATAGATGTTGACTTTCATAAATGACTTTTAATGCAATATTTTTGTAAATTGATTTTTTCTTTTTTCAATACAGATCTCATAGTTAATATCTTATGGTAAAATAAATGCACAGTGCCTGAAATGTTGTTAGCTAGCAAATGGTTTAATAGCAGTTTAATGAAAATATTATTTCTGCAATACATAAGTTCAATGTGAAGGTGTTCAAGTTTATACTGAACTTGTATACTGCATGTTATGTCGAACAAGTATATAAAAATATTAATTAATGTTGGCTATGCTTATCCTATACAGGAGGGTACTTAGTACTTATTGTCATGTGATATATGCCATGTGCAGTTGGCGAGTTGTCCGGTCTTCTCGGATTATTCTTTGACACTGGGTCATGCAGCTATTGAAATCAGAATGTAGTCCAGCAAGGTGCCAAGTATAAACATTGTAACTGAATTCTCAAGTGTAATTAGAAGGTGAACACTCCCAGGGTTGTAATGTTTCTTTCCACACACGCACTACATTTATGTAAGTCCAAGGATAAGGTTTCTATCTCTGTTTGGGGTCACTTTAAGTGTTCGAAAGGCATTGTGTCTTGCCAACTGTGAATCCTTATCATGGCAACTAAACAAAAACTCTCCACAATCTAGGGGAACTTTTTCATTCATATCCACTTAAAAGGTTCATAGTTTGCAATATTTTATTTCATATTTTATGGACACCAATCTAGCATTTACTATGCATGTACACACACACCTTACTCTATTGCGCCTTTTAACCCCTGAAATGATCCTTAATATTTTTTTTTTTATCCACTATCAGCTGCATAATATGTTTCCTGTTTCGAAAGAACATTTTCGGTGCATTTAATCAGCCATGAACCTGACTGATAGTTGTATTTTGTGAAAGGGATTTTGACAGTGTTGATATCAATTTTAATTTTGATTAATGTATTATGTACAGTATTACTATAAAATAAATAAATTAGTGTTTCCACCAAAAATACAGGTTACTTCCATGTAAGAAATAATCTCCATCTAATATTGTAATGAAGAAAACTGTCCACACACACTCCAATATAAACATTCAGGCTGACGTACGATAAATGACGATTTGTGAGTACAATACTGTATTGGTTCTTAATTCTAACGCCATAAAAAATAAGTACAGTAGTGTATGTCGTAAAACAAGTAAGTGGTACCCAGCTTGGGTGCATTCCAAATTGAGGTTTGGTTTAGTTGAACTGTTATTTAAAACTATTTCCCAATGTAATTATATAATCTTACAAGGACTGGTTTGACCAAAAATTTCATTGAATTTGAATTGAATTGAAACAGTTTATTTATCCAGAAAAATACAGAGTGGATAATAATAACAATATTGACATGGCTGAGCCAGTTGAGAACCTGAGTTCTCTTTGAGGCACCTGATATATACTATACGTTTATATCAAGGAAGTACTGTACAGTATTATGTAACATTTAGCATCATCTGGAATAGTACAGTAGCATGGTGGTAATAAGTACATCTCATAATGTTACCACGGTTATCACTTCAATATTTATTTATTTTATTATTTATTAATATTTTTTTTATATACATATATATATATATATATATATATATATATATATATATATATATATATATATATATATATATATATATATATATATATATATATATATATATATATATATATATATATATATATATAAACAAAAACTGAATTCCACACGCTGCCAAACATAGGATTAAAAATGGTTGAACTTTACATTATTATATCTCTGAATCCAGATTCTTGAAGTTTCACACATTAAATCCAGAAAGTATCGACACCCCAAGCATCCAAAAGAATATGAAACCTCAGCTGAAGACCAACCCAACCCAACCAATACAGTACTGTGTATGAACAAATCTGAGGTTATCAGTTGTTTTCTATCCCAACAGACCCTGAGGTCTTGATACTTTTTGGATTATCTTTACCTGTATTTAAAATAAGTGGGTGGTATATCCATCAAAAAAATGTAGCGACCCTTACCTTATTTTACATTCTTTAACACAGGATGAATTGTTTTGCTATAGTACTTTACGATGGATATGACAATGTTTTTTGTTATGCCTACTCCCATTAGCAAATACTGTACTGTAGTTCCTTTATGTTAGAGATACGAGTCAATTAGTGGTTTTCCTTTGACATTTCATTTGTGTGTCTGCCTTCTACAGTTTTGATTAAGTAATAAGAGTCAAATCCGAATAGAGTCCTATGAACTGAGCCCATCTATCTTTGCTCGGAGATCTTCCAACTAAAGCAGAATACTTATTGTTATTTGTAAGGAAAGGCTTTAAAATAATTTAAACGACCAAAGGGTAGAAGAGAAATGACACAATCTTTAATCGTTTCAGTCAGCAGTTTTACTACATGTTGGTTTTCTCCCTTAAATATATATTGTTTGGGAAATGACAACTCTGCTCTACAGTTGTTAAACAATCCTTTCCTACTGTATGCCACAATACTGTACATAGCTAATCATTCATCATTAAAGTACTGTATTGCAGAACACCTGACCATTGATTTTAATGTAACCATTGGGCTTAGTATTATTTTACCGTAGTCTAAAATTCCACAATAAATATACACAGCCAATATACACAGGTACCAACTAGACATGCAAATTCTCCCGTAATTGGCTGAGTTCTCCCGTTCTTCAGCAAGGGACATAAATCTCCTGCAAGTGTCCATCATTCACTTTCTTCTACCAACACAACAGATACATCTATGTCTATACTGTACTGTACTGTGTACTGTACTGTACTGTACTATACTGTACAGTACTGTACTGTACAGTTCTTGCTCATTCCGAATTCCATCAGACCTGAGGATCGTGATACTGTACTTTTTTTGAAGGGTGTATATGCACACTTTGCACAGTACCCCTATGTCCTTTGCACCCCAAGATCTTACATGCATATAAGTTTGCAAATGTGGGGGCTTCAGGCAGGGGAGGTATTAGTGGTGATAGTGGTATTGGTGGTGGTGATAGTGGTGGTCATGATAGCGATGGTAGTAGTAGTAGTGGCAGTGATGGTGATACAGTGTAGTGATCAGACAAGTTATAGTAGTTATAAGCCTGGTATTACTGGAGGCCATCTGCAATGAATAGTAATAGAACATATTTTATGGCCAATATTAGTACTTTATCCAATTGGCAAATGATTTAATCACTTAAACTTTTTTAATCTGTATATTTTTTATTATCATGTTACATGTTGAATTGAGTTGAGAGTACAGTAACAAAGGGGGGGGGGGCATGGCATGGCTACATTGCCCCCCCCCCCTTCCCCCCTATATATATGCCATTGGCTGTAAAATAAATTTCTGGCATGACTGGTTGATGATGGTAGTCAGGTAAGATTTGTAGATGGTCAGGGCCTTCAGTAGGTCTACCAGAGGTGAAGACAGGCCACACACTCTGTAAGACTTGCCCTAAGAATATCAGATGCTGTGCAGCTTCTGGCATAAGGACTATTGGAAACAAGCTTCTTATGGCTTTATCAACTGTCCTTGGTCATATTGACTGAATATCAATTATTATTATTAATCTACCAGAGGTGAAGCAAGTGGTGGTGGTCAGATCAATCTTCTTGCGGTTCCTTCAGTAGGTCTGCTATTAAGTATAGTTAAGGGTATTGGTTAGGACACACTAGTCGCATGCCTTGTAGAAACCTTCATGGCAGCAGAGGGCATTGGTGCTTGAGACGCCATCATAGGCCCAAGGGCCGTTGCACGCATTGGCGTATCCATAGACCTGTCAACAAACGCAACACAAGGTCAGCATCTCATTTACCACCGAGGGAAATAGATATTTCGATAATAATTTTGCTAGTTGTGACTAGTTTTTTCCAATTCCTCACTATTTTGTAAGAACTTAAATTTGTTAAGAGCTGTGAGCTTTTACTATGAACTAAGACTTTTGCCAGAACTGAGATATTATGTCAAGAACAGATTAATTTTTGCTAAAGCTGAGAACTTCCGTTGAGAACTGACAGTTTTGGTAAAGATTCATGTCCATTCCCTTTTATGACTCGCATCAACTCAACATCATTGTCAACAAACGCCTTGCAAAAATATTCCCTCACAACTGTGGCTTATTGAAGTTCAGAATCAATGTTTACACACACATAATGAACTTTTTTTTTCCCACCTGTGACTTAGAGCAGTCACAAAATCAATGTGAAGACACACGAAAGAGACTCATGTATAACTTTAATTCAGTTATTTACTCTCATCTTGTCTTTTAGGCCCTAACGCCATTGAAATAAAATCACCCGAAAGGCTGTCCTTTTATGTAAAAAAAAAAGTGATTCTGTTTGTAGGGAACATACATTAAATTTAATACTGTATATACTTTTTGTATTAAGTGAGTCAGTGACTCATCAGAAAGTGACCTTGACACCATTGAAGGAGATGCAGTATAGTATTCGTACTATTCTATGTATAAATAGTCTAATTGTCAAGGTTCTTCCTGTAGAACACAAAGAGGTGGATATACACAAATGGATGGTGATAACTCTACAGTTGCATCACTGTTAATACTGTACTAACCTTGGCGTGGTAGACGTTGTGAATGCCATGGTGCTCGACCATCTTCAGGCAGATCTCTTGTCCAACGGAGTATCCGTTGGCCAGCAGGTGGTTCAGATCGCCTCCAGACGTAAAAACGTTGAACTGTGGGATAAAATGAACGGTGGTGAGTGGCACTGGTTCTGGATATACTCTCTTATTACCAACTCTCTACCTTCCCTCTAAACAGTCCCACATCCCCCCCCCCCCTCTTCTGTGGTGCTCATATTGGGTGTCTGATATTAGGACAGACTCTCCCCATGTATAGTGCTACTGGCCTGAGTACTCCCACCAGTGTTGTAGTGCTGTTTTGGCTGCTTACTTCTAGAGCCTCATCTATCCCTTACTTCTGTGTAGTGGTTCTGCTATGTGTGTGTTAATCAACCCCCTCCCTGTGTGGAGCATTTAACATCTCGGTATGGAATATAATGCACATGTAACATCTTTGAATGAACTAATACATGTACACCCTTTATGAACTAGTACATATGGAACTACCCATCCCTTTATGTAATACAGGTAGAGTGGGCACCTCGTTAGCACAGGTGGTCTTGCAGATGGACACGTCGTCACAGGAGTCGACTGTGATGGACTCAAGGTGGTAAACCATGTGTACTTCGTCATCCATCTCAATAAACATCCCGCACCAACAGTTGGGGAATTCACCCACGCCCTTGGCCCTGGTGATGAGGACGGATGAGGGACTTGAGAATGAGGTAAATGACATAAATGTAATTAGTGTATGGTGTTGCAAGAACAGATAAGTGTAAGGTGACCGACAAAGGAGTGGATGATGAAAATATTGAAATTATGTAGGTTCTCAATTGTTACTCTTACTACAGGTATTAACAACACAACATACATATATCATTTCTCACTATTGATATTTTTTTTTTGTATTTATTCATGGCTCTTTATTATTACAGGGGGTATTATTATTATTATTATTATTACTGTATTTAAAAAATTTTTAAACCTTTATTATTACTGTAATTGTATTTTCTTTTATAATAATTATTTATTTTTAAATATTGTTATTAATTTATTATTACTGTTATTATGATTATTATTATTATTTTCTTTTATTATAATTGTTATTTATTAAATATATTTATATTAATTTTATTACTATTATTATTATTATTATTATTATTATTATTATTATTATTATTATCATCATCATCATCATGATTATTATTATTATTATTTTATTATATTATATTATATTTTCGCCCCCCAGGCCTTGATGTGGGTCATTAAAAATGACCCGTGCCCGGGTGGGCTAATGCCCTTAAAAAAAAAAAAAGAATGGGAACATTAAAAAAGATAAAGAGATGATTGATGTTTGGCGGGTGAGTGTGGACAGAAGAGTGGATGAAGGATGGTGAGTAAGAAACATTGGATGTGATTCTCCACATTACAGCTCAAAATATTTCTGATGTGCTTGTTAATGTCACATCTGATTCTGCGTGACTTAGAACAAAGGACAATGATCTTTAGTTTCAAAATATCAACAAAGAACTATATCTCCCTCGCCTAGTGAGAGAAGGGATATAGCTTCCTCTTTCAACCAATTAAACTTATTGAGTCTATGACATACCCGACCAGGGCGATTGATGCCAGCAGCAGAACAAAGGTATTCATGACTCTGTGTGATTCCTAAGACAGAAGTGGCTGACTGTAGGCGTCACACCGACTTAAATACCAGCCTGAACCCGACACCTGAGTCTTCCTCTGGCACGCCAATCAACTGGGAGTCTCCACGTGCCGTCTTCGTTATGTCACCTGTTCCGTAACACTTATTATTGTTATCTTTATATAAAGTGACACAGGAGTCACAGCCCCGTGTGTGTTAGAGCCTCAAGATGTTGACCAAGAAAGCTGAGGAAATGGTAAACATATAATACTTTATCATCATTATCATTACTCAAGCTGCAGTCTAAGTCTCAAACTGTTATGTAATTACATGTTTGTAACTATGCACAGCTGTTGCATAACTGTAGAACGGAGTTACAGTATTCATATTGTCACGTAAAGTCGTCATGTCACTTAACCAGTTGTGATGTTAGTGGGAAAAAGCCAAAAGTTAAGGTGATAATTCCGTTAATTTCCTCCTTGTCCTGCCGTTCTCCTCAAGGATGGAAAGGGCCATAGTGTTCAAACTTTTGTGTGTGTATTACTGCCGTGTTTTAGGGTCAAAGGGTTAAGGTCTGGGTCACAACATTGATATTGTTACTACTCGGCAAGAGGTCGCACCTAGCTTGAGTGCAGTCCTATTTGAAGTTTAATTTACTGCTATTTAAAACACTATTTCCCATTTTTAATAAAATAATTTTTGAAAGAATGATTTTACCAAAAACGAGAACTGAATTCCCACACGCTGCCACCAGGGAAAGTCTCACTAACTTGATTAAAGCGAAAAGCGTTCCAACATTTAATTAAAAATGGTTCGCCTCTATTATACTTTACCTTTGAGTCCAGATTCTCAAAGGTTCACACGTTGAATATTCCTCGTAACTGGAGTGCACACAAAAACAACCCATTTTTTTTTACAAAACTCACACTGAAACTTATCATAACTAGATAAGTTCAAACAACACCAAACAAATTTGAGTAGCCTGTCTTAGAAAAAAAAAATCTGCGCATTAATCTTATCTCCTAATTTGGCTTTTGTTCGTCTCAGAGTAATTTTCATATTTTTTAGTGTTATTTTTGTGTTTTAGTTTAACTCGACCAATTGGGTGTATTCTTACTACACCGGTTACGAGATATTATATTTTGTTAATCTGAACCCTAGGTCGAGATTACTGAAGCCTAGTTCGCTCGATGAATAATCCTTGTAACTAAGAATACATTTACTGATTGACATAAACTAAAGCATAACAATATCATTCAAAAACAACATTGAAATTGAATTGAAGCTCTACCTTAACTCTTGACGCATATAAAAATTAGTGTTGTTGCTTTTTTTCACACTGGACATGTATTAAAAAGCAAAAGGGAGAGATAGATACAGGTACCCAAATTTGCGGACGCTTCAGGTGTTCGAGGTAGTGCACACACACACACACACACAAACACACACACACACACAAACACACACAAATTACGTAAACTGGGAAATTGGGTCAAAACAGCAGCATCGGCCGCATGTTACGAGATAGGGGGTTGACAGCTAATGTTTATTCATTTAGATATTATTTTTTGGGGCGGTTTAAAGTCGTACTTTCGTTTGGTCGCCGCGTTTGTATTTTATCGTACAAACTAGAGTCTTTGTTTTGTTCATTTATTAAACAAACAATATTGAATGTAGTTTAAATAAAATTTTTATTCGATTGACAGACATACACAGTAGTTATTTTCATGTGTGTATGAGTATTTGTAAATAGTTTTAGGTATATATAAATCCCCACCATGGTTTTCAGATGTATCTTTAAATTGTTGATAGTGTATTTACTAACCTAGAATACGAGCTTAAATGTCTGTATTACATTATAACATCACATCGCTTGCTTTAACGTATGAGAAATGTTGGTGTATCGAAGTTTGCTGTTAGGATTTAACATAAGCATTTTCGGTCCTCTGAGTTGTATAGTAGCCTAAATCTTCCAGTTCACCAAATACGTGATATATTTGCTTGTATGCGTATGTGGTCTTTCGTTTGTACATTTTGCACAAGTACATTACTTATTTCACGGGGACGCGACAATTTTACGACAAACCTTAACCTATTGGCCTTAAAAGAGAGTAGCAATATACACATAAAAACATGAACATTATAGCTCTCTCCACCCTTGAGGTGAACGGCAGGACAAGGAGGAAATTAACGGAATTATCACCTTAACTTTTGGCTTTTTCCCACTAACATCACAACTGGTTAAGTGACATGACGACTATGCGTGACAATATGAATGCTGTAACTCCGTTCTACAGTTATGCAACAGCTGTGCATAGTTACAAACATGTAATTACATAACAGTTTGAGATTTAGACTGCAGCTTGAGTAATGATAATGATGATAAAGTATTATATGTTTACCATTTCCTCAGCTTTCTTGGTCAACATCTTGAGGCTCTAACATACATGGGGCTGTGACTCCTGTGTCACTTTATATAAATATAACAATAATAAGTGTTACGGAACAGGTGACATAACGAAGACGGCACGTGGAGACTCCCAGTTGATTGGCGGGCCAGAGGAAGACTCAGGTGTCGGGTTCAGGCTGGTATTTAAGTCGGTGTGACGCCTACAGTCAGCCACTTCTGTCTTAGGAATCACACAGAGTCATGAATACCTTTGTTCTGCTGCTGGCATCAATCGCCCTGGTCGGGTATGTCATAGACTCAATAAGTTTAATTGGTTGAAAGAGGAAGCTATATCCCTTCTCTTACTAGGCGAGGGAGATATAGTTCTTTGTTGATATTTTGAAACTAAAGATCATTGTCCTTTGTTCTAAGTCACGCAGAATCAGATGTGATATTAAGAACCATATCATAAATATTCTGAGCTATAGTTTAGAAAATCACATCAGAGGTATTTTAATTTACAACATTTAATATTTATTTCTCATCATCCTTTATCCACTCTTCTGTCCACACTCACCCGTCAAACATCAATCATCTTTTTATCTTTTTTAATGTTCCCATCACAGCATCCAGTCATCCACAGCATCCACGTCATTTTCATATTTTCTACATCCACTCTTTTATCAGTCACCTTACTTATATCACTTCTCACAACACCATCCACTTTATTACATTAATGTCATCCACTCGCACTCAAATCTCTCACCTGTCTTCATCCAGCTCGGCCGTGGGTGACCTCCACAACTGTTGGTGCGGGATGTTTATTGAGTTGGACGAAGAGGTTCACATGGTGTACAGCCTCGATTCCGCCACGGTCAACTCCTGCGACGACGTGTCCACCTGCAAGACCACCTGTGCTAGCGAGGTAGGTCTTACACACACCCTTCACTAACTCAACAACTATTCAGAAGGGAGGGAGACATGTGGTTCTTGTCTAACACCACATAAAGGGAGGGGCTGTCCTAACACTAGCCTTACGGAGGGAGGAGATTAGGCACATAGAAGAATGTTGGTACAAAGAGAAGAAATCCAGAACCAGCGACTCACAACTGCTAATTTTATCTCCACAGTTCAACACGTACACGGCTGGAGGGGATCTGAACCACGTCCTGGGCGACGGATACTCTGTAGGACAAGAAATCTGCCTAAGGATGGTCGAGCGCCACGGTATTCATAACATCTACCACGCCACCGTCAGTATTAACAGTGACGCAGCTGTAGGGAGCTGTTGTCACCATCTGTTTGTTTATGTCCCTGTCTTTTTTGTGTTCGTTTTTGTGTTTTACAGGACGAACATTGAAAACTGTGTTGTTGATACTTAGTACGATTATCTCCCTTACCAAGGTCACGTTGTTATGAATCTCTGACTCATTTATCACAAAAGTATATATAAAAATTACTGTAGGGTCACTCCATACCGCATTATTTTGTTTTCAAGTGACTCCACTATCTGACTGGGATTTTTTTCACTCATGTTTGAGTCTGAAAAACTTGACCATGAAATAAAACAAGAGTAAAAATTTGAAGACAAATTCTGATCTGTTTGGTGTGTTTAAGGTCACAGTCGGGAAGATTGTGTCTATTAGCTGTGTGTAAACGTTGATCCTGAACTTCAGTAAGCCACAGTTGTGAGGGAGTATTTTTGTTAGGAGTATGTTGACACTGATGTTGAGCTGATGCGTGTTGTATGAGGGACGGAGTGTGGCAAAACTAGCGAAAATATTTTATTCCCAGCGAAAACTATCTGTTTGTAATAAAAACTCTCAGCTCTTAACATAATTTAAGCTCTTAACGAAAATTGTAACGTCTTGGTATAAACTAACAATAATTATCAAACTTATTAGTGATGTTGACCCTGTGTTGTGTTGTTGACAGGTCTACGGATACGGCAACGTGTGCAACGGCCCTTGGGTCTATGATGGCGTCTCAAGCATCAATTCCCTCTGCTGCCACAAAGGTTTCTACAGGCCATGCGAATAGTGTGACCTGAAGGACTCGACCGTCTACAATTCTTACCTGACCACCACCACCGTCAGTCAGTCACGCCAGAAATTTCGTTGACAGCTCATTCTCAACTCTATCAAGACTACGACTGTGACCTAATCATGACCCCTTATTCTTCCTGTTACAAGTGATCGACCATAAAGTTGTTTTATTAACTTTGTTTTTATGTATTCCAATCCATTTATTACAGATGGCCGCCAGTAATACCTGGCTTATAACTACTACTATTTGTCTGATCACTGCCATCACTGCCACTATTATGATCACCATTAACACCATCACTACCACCACTATCACAACCACCACTACCACCACCACCACCACTACCACCTTCAATACCATTACCACCACCACCACCACCACTACCCACCACCTACTTGTTCCTTATCGATCCTAGTCTCATTTTAGCACCTTCCTGTCCCAAGCTCCATCACCAGGCGAGTGTGTCTACCTGACCTCTGTTTATTACAACCCCTCACACCCCTCCCCTCACCCTCCCTCACGCCCTTCCCCTTACCCACCCTCAACTCCCTTCCCCTCACCCTCTCTCACTCCCCTTACCTTCCCACACTCACTTCCTTCCCCTCACCCACCCTCCCTCACGCCCTCCCTCACGCCCTTCCCTCACTCTTCTCCCCTTCCCCTCTCCCCCCTTCCCTCCTTCCTGCTCTCCTTGTCTCTAATTCGCGCATTTTCTTTGCGTTATGGCTATTATCCACGACACCGAAGGGGAAACTCTAACAATTGGTCGTGTGTTTGTCTGTCTATACTTCTACTTGTTTTATCTCTCTCTCTCCTTCCCTACCCTCACTCTCTCACTTTCTCTCCCTCCTTCCCTACTCCTCTCTCCCTTTCTCTTCCTCTTCGTCACTTTCTTTCTCACCACAAACTTTCACTCTCTCCACTAACAACAAGGCACCACAGGGGGAGAAGATGGTCATTACAGCGAAGAAAATTATTGGTAATCTGACTAATGCTTATATATAATAGAGTCATTACCGGGTTAATTACCGGGTGGGGGTCCCTGTGGTCGGGTGGGCCACCTCAATTAACGCTGATAATTTGACCTCAAAACTGGAATTATCAGAAAATTAAGTGACGCGCAGTTTTTATATTAAGAAAAAATAGATTGTCGTCTCTCTCTTTTCCTTTCTTTCCTCCCACCTCTCTCTCTCTCTCTCTCTCTCTCTCTCTCTCTCTCTCTCTCTCTCTCTCTTTCATTGTTCCTGTTTTTATTGCAATTTTTCCTCTCCCCCTTTTCTTTCATCTGTCTCTCCCTTTCTTTTTCCTTCATTTCTGTTTCTCACTATTTAATTCCCTTCTTCCTCTCTCTCCCCCTTCTCTCTCTCTCTTTTCTCTTCTACTCTTCCTCTCTCATTTCCTCTCTACCTCTTTGTATCTTCCTCTCTCCTCTAATCATTACCCTCCTTTTCTTTTCTCCCTCTATACTGTACCGATTTCTTTACCACAGTCTCCCTTCACTCTATCCCCTCTCTTCCTCTCTCTCTCTCTCTCTCTAGTCTCTTCACACCTCTCTCTCCCACTGTTTCTTTCAACCCTTTTTACATTTTATCTTTTTCTATCCCTCCCACCCCTCCCCCCCCTCTTCCTCCCCCTCTTTCTTTCTCTTCACGTCATGTATCTTCTAAGAACACGACCTGCAACGCTGCCTCACAAAGAGATGAAAAATGAGTAATTTCCAGTAACCAACAGATGAGTTTGCTTACAAATTACAGGTAAATATTGATACAAGGCGTAATTTGTAATTTTCGCCGCAGTTACTCCTTAAAAAAAGAGAAAATGGACGAAAAGAAAAATACGTGAGGAACTTATTTATACATTCCAAAACTGCTTACTTAGTAACCACAAATATAGATTAAAATCATCGTGACCAACAGGTAAGATGACCTTAAAATTACAGGTTAATTATACTGACGCAAGAAGTAATTTGTAATTTTCTTCTTAGTTACACAATAAAAAAACGAAAACGGAAGGAAAAATAAATACGGGGAACTAATCTAAATCCTGACGCCCCTCCTGAAGTGTTATCAGGTGAGGCAGGATAATGACAGGTTGAAACTGCATTAAGGTCGGGATTTTTATATTTAAAGCATACATTTTTTATCCATACGAAGTTAGTCTTAATGTTCGTGTTGGTTAGGATGGTATGAGCGCCAGTGCATCAGTTTGAGAGAGTTAGTTGTCCCGCCGCAGAACTTTTAAGCGATTAATTAATTTACGCGGTATTTTAAGACTTGTGAAAAGAAAGATTTAGTGAACGGTGCTTAATAACTTTGGTGGAAGTTTAAGAAAAAAAATATGTTGCAAACCGAAAGCAATCTGTCTTGTCAGATTATGAGAAGTAAAGTAGTGCGTTTTAACAAAGATAGCGTAGTAAATAGTGAACGATGCTTAATAATTCCTGGGAGTTTGAAGCACTTAAAGCAACAAACTATAAAATATATCTAGCAGTGCCACTAAATCTCTTGTTTTAGTACCCTACAGAAACAGAACTCAATCCTTTATCCAGAGAGGACTTACAAACATAGACGCTGATCACCAAATCCTCGTATCTATAATGCAAGTTGTCGTGTCTATCTGCCTCTCTGTCTGTGTCAAGTAATCTGTTAAACTATTTAATAGACACAAGTCATACACAACTCTTGGGGATGGTCTTGCATTAGCCAGTATCCCTGGAGGCGTCTGTGAGGTGAGACAGGTTCGCTCCACCCAGGACCCTGACTCCACCTACGACGCTCATCTGAAGGTGAAAATGTCGTCAATATTGCAGCCAGACTCTACTACTGTGATAAACTGATTTCTTGTGGCTAGGCAAAGGAAATTAATACCGAACCCGAATTTTAATACTAATATCACGAGTTGGATTTTGCTATGTTGACATTAAGCTAGGTTCGCTATGTTTGGATAGGCTAGGATAGTTTCTGATATATTGTAACCTTATTTTTAGGATCATGACTCATGTGAACTGGCGCCTTGTAAGATTAAGGGCTACAAGGACTGGGGCCCCTCATGATTGGGGGTCTATTAAGCCTAAATCCCAACCTTAATAGCTAAAGTGGGGCCCTATTAGAACTGGGGCCCAGTCGACTAGTCATCCCCCACCCAGAGGTATATTTTATATACCGTCTCCCTCATCAACTCTCCCTGACTCTGAAAAATGGACAAGATCACGAGGCAGGTACCAGGTTGTGGGGGTCACCGTGTTGTTTATCATGGTTAAGAGGTCCGCCACACCAGGGGTTCAGGGCTGGCACGATGCTCTTATTCCTGGAACCTTAAATATATATATATATGTGTGTACAGAAGACATTTATAGTGTGTTTATGACCAAATATCCATTGCTATGCCAACTCTCAACCCCAGATTTTAACAGAGTATAAATTTCAGATACTTCGGGAGATATATACATTAAATTCGCCAACACATCTACATTTCTGTAATTTTAAGCATTTTATAGAATCACCTTTTCATATATACACGCAAGTTCCATGAAACTGTATCGTACTAGCCTCTGTTATGAATCTTTAAGCCTTGCTACAGACTAGGATGGGAGGAAGGTCTTGGCGTGTTAACTTTAGCTCTGTTGTCTGCCTGAGTGTTTCTCTGTCTGTAGGTCCATCCCCCACCCAGGTTAAGTTACATGTCTGATGGAGTTTCTTGGTAACTGGTGAATGAAACGCGCTTCAGTATTGGACAATTTATTGATACCATCTGTTGTGACTATGTCGAAAAGAGAGTCGTAACACTCAACCTAACCTAACCTAACCTAACCTAACTTACCCTAACCTACAAGACTTTTTGTAAGACCTGCACAACCTTATGTATTAAATATATGACTTTTATACGACCTTTCACAATACATACACACAACATTTGTAACACCTGTAGGGCTCTTTAACACTTGTACGCCCTACTGCTGTTCGTGCGTTCATTTGACACATATTTGATGACACTCTAGTGACTGAATGACTTCCTGTTGAAACCTAAAAGATATCTTGGTGATTCTTGTTCCTCATATAAGCACTTTGGTTCCTAGTGACGGCAGGTGTTGTCCCACGGCAGCTGGTCTTCGGTTATCAGTAAGCCTCACACCTATTGAAACACATGTTCTCAGCTTCGAGTATTGTTTCTTTAATACTATTGTAAAAGTTAACAGTTTTCACACAACAGCAACAATAATAATTATGAAGGTTCGTTAACACGTATTTGTCATTTGATTTTAGTTATTATTATCATTATTATTATTATTCAACTCACCTGCAGAGCTCGTTTATGAAGACTTCTCCGGAGGAACATTGAACCTCTTGGAAGACGGGGCACACACACTCACAGGTAGAGGTATCCCACAGCCTACTGCGTGCCTCACACACCTCCTGCAGGCGTGGGTCACACTCACACTCACACGCAGCCTCGTTCAAAATCTGTGGTAGGAAGGAATTATTTTATGCTATGTAAGGATATTGTAACTCTTTCCACACTATAGTTATGTTTTGATAGATAGATAAATAGATAGATAGATAGATAGATAGGGTGTTAAAAATTGTGTTACTCGGCTATTGCAACACTTAACTACGTCACCTGTTAATATGTTGGGTGCTTTTAATCGCATTTGGTGTATGTAATTAGCAGCAATCTTTTTTTTCTTCAGTTTAAACAAGTTAAAAAGCGAAGCAATCACCTGTTTCCCCATAATTCCGTTATTGGTTTACTGTTTCGGTAAATTAATGGTAACCGTTTAGATCAGTATCGCGATTGATTTTAACCCGATATTGGCTTCTGTTCTACAAATATCAAAGATTAAATGCTTTACATATCGAGTTCTGTTACATGGCCAGCTTAAATTTGTGATTTTTCTAAGGTTTGCTAAGCTTCAGAGAAAAATCTTTCAAAATAAGCAAAACGAACCACCCAAACCTAAGTCACTGAACCTAACTTGACAATATTAGACCTTGGAGTAAGTTAGGTTAAATTAGGAAAGGTAATTATTTCATTATTTTGATGTTAAATGTGAGATGTTTATTTTTAGATAAGTCGGGGGTCATATTGAGGGATTAAAGTTGCACGATATTGATTTTTTTTAAGTGGGTGTGTGTAAAGGTGACGTTTTTAGTGTGCCTGCATCATGCTAGTTTTGAACTCCTGACCCTAAACGTGTCAAGTAAAAATCCAGGTTGAATACTCGTAAATAGACAAGCTATAAAAGTTTTATTTACATGTAAACACAAAACACAAGTTCCAAAAATAGTTCCGTGGCAACTTTGAACCCCAACTATGACCCATTAAATATTATTGCAATAGTGAGAGCGACATCTGTACCCCGTCAAATATTCATTTTTATATTGAACGTTTTTCTCACTCTTCGTTTGCAAGACAGACAGCGAAAGATTAATAATATTAATAGTTTTCGCGTTTTTCTGGTTGAAGGAAGATAGTATTGTGGCAATATTACAAATCAAATAGGTAAAATCCACACTTTAAAGGCGGTTACATGATTAAAATTAATGAGTGGAACATTTATTTTATTATGTATGAAGACACAGCACCATCTAACGGGTTAAGATCAACGACGATACTAATCTTAACTATTACTGTACTTCGGGGACACATTGGCTACACGTGACGCCACTGGAAGAGGTTATATTTTATATTAAACGTTACTAACTTACTAACCCGTCATTTAGCATTTCTCACTATGACTTAATTTACCTAATTTACTCAAAACTTATAGAAACAAGTACTTGGTAATTATTAAAATATAGCATCACAAGATAATCCTAAGTCTTTCCTTTCTTGATTAAAATTCTCAAGTTTATGTTGACATTTAAAGAGCCAATCACAGAGTAGTCGTGGGGGGGAGGGGGGAAATAAGTGATGTTTAAAGATTACCACAAACACTACATTTATAATTATTTCATTTACTTTTTCAAAAAGAGATTCCCTGAATTTCAACTAATTTAACTTTATTTAGCCATATTAGGTGATATTAATTAGGTTAGGTTATATTTTGGGTCTTTTACTTGCAAGAAATGAAAGAAAATGGGTCAGCGGTATTGGTTGTGGTAACCTTTTAACAACCATTATTTGAGGTTCCCAGAGTGTCTTGAGTTGTGTTGGTGGACATTTAACTCTTATTGCAGTGTTTTGGTCATTTAAATCCTGCTGGTGTCGTTAGTGCACACAGTCATAGCGATAGATAACTACAGTGTACTTTGACGAGATGTAACCACCACAGAGGATTATATTTACTCGAAACCCGTAAAAATTACATAAAAGCTTTTTGGAAAATGAAATGTGTTATTCAAGTCGACTGTTGTGTTAGTTTTATGTTTTGGGAACGGCAATTAAGTTACGTAGAAAAATGTATACGACAATGTGCATTTTTTTTGCGGCCGATTAAACTTAGTATTGTGTTGGTATAGTGTTAGTGTGTAGATAATAGTGAAAATGTGGCCAGGATCTTCGTCGCCATCATGGTGTTCCCAGCGCTGGTGAGTACAGAATACTTGTATAAAGGCTGACGATGAGTCTCATTTAGTCAGTACCCAAAGTGAGTTCTAGTAACAGAGGCAACCAAACCTAACCCAAACCAAACCTGATCTAACTTATTTTGGCCTAATCAGACCGGAAATCGGACAATTTTCTTAACTCTTTGACTAAAATTTTCAATGAAATATTGAGCTAAGCTTTATGATTAAAGATAAAACCCAGAATTGGATATTAAGTGACTCTGTTATTAGCCAACCCGATTTACTGTTTTTGTTGGGGTTATTCACACGGCGGCGAGCGTATTACTGTATTAAGTTCAACTGTAAACGAGTACGTATAGTTTACAAGCTGTTATACACTCAGGGCGTGTAGAGTAAGTAGTTACAGAACTTTAACATACTAGTGCATCCTGAAGTATTTTTTAGGACTTCATGTGATAGTGAAGCCTGTTTATTTTGTTTCTAATCATATACTGTGCAATATATATATATACTGTATATATATATGCCACTGTGAACATTTGCTCATAACGGTAAAATGTAGTGTTTCATTTAAGACATTGTATAATAACACAGAGAGTTCCACCTCTCATAATTTTTAATGTTGTTGGATGAGTGTATTGCTAACCTTGTTACGCGCTCAGACCTTCGTTGTTGAAGTGCAGTAATTACAACAAATCACGCCGTGGTCAAACTATACCTAAATTATTTAAGATTTATTAAGGTTAGTACTTTTTTATTATCTGCATAATTGTCGCTATATACAAACCTGTTGGAATTTTCGAAAATAAAATAACTGTACCGTATAGACTAGGTATTTCACAATTATTTCTAAAACTCATGGCATATATACTTATAATCTGACGTATGTATATTAATTATTTTAATAAACACACCCGAATTATTTATCCTAACCTGTCAGGAGTATTGTTATCAAACACACACTAGGGTGGTCCTTGAAGTGTCAGGCTTAACAAGGTTTATTGACATCTAGTTTCGAAATTTCTGTGTAGAAGCCAGAGCACGTTTGGCTGGATCGTTCTCGCAGGGAGCGGATACACGTGTCCAGTTGGTGGATAATCTTGCATTGGGTAACATACGACCTGATAACGGGTTACGTCGGTCGCAAAGCAACTGCTGTACCTGGGGTCTGATGAACTTTTTGTGCCTACTAGTATTTAGGGTATTGTATTTAACCGTTGGAATTTGAAGAAATTTTTGTCATACTCATGTCTCTTAACTATGATGTACGAGGAATATTTTTAAGTACGGTAATGCTTGTTAGGTATTTACATTACTGTATATATTGATGTTACTTTGTCAAATATGTCATAACCCACAGTATCGATGTTAATATGGTTAAATGTCTGACTCATAGTAAGTTAGAGTTTGAAAGATCCTAACTTCCACGAACTAACCAATAGCTAAAATTTGTTAAGTTAATAGTTGTTCGTGTCGTGAGATGTAAGGAAATGTTGGCGGGAACGTCTAGCTATATACTAGACCATTTGTGAATTGAAATGAAGGCTTGTATATTGTTGTTAAATTATCGTTATCCATAGTTCAACACTGAGTCTGGTAAAGCACAAAGTGATAAATAATTAAACTGTGTGTTACCTCAGGCCCATGTAGAACTACGAAAGAAAATAGAAAATATTAGTACTCCAGATAACTAAACTGGGGGAGGGAATGTTCCAGATTGACGTGGGACAACAGAAGGAAGACAAAATCCAGTGGTATTGAGATAGAATGGAATGCTAACGTTAACTGAATTTGCCAGATTAGTCTTGAAATTGGTCTTAATATGCATGCTTACGTCATAACATAGGCACCGGCTCAGCCTACCGGACAGGAGGGAACGAGCGCCGTGTAAACAATGAAATTTTTAACCACACCCTGCAAAATACAGTGTACTTAGCAAATGCTGCAGCTTCTGAGAATGTGGGTGGAGCGGGTTTATTACTAAGAGCAGAGACGTTACCGAGAACAAATTCTGGCTTGAATGTCATGTACACTAATACCGACACGTTCCTTGATAAGAGGGAGGAGTTTGAAACACTACTAAGAGTACACCAACCAGATATTGTAGGAGTTGTAGAACTGTTGTACAAGAACAGGAGAATCGACCCAGAGGAATGTGAGTTCAGTATTGCTGGATATGACTCATTTACGAACCTAACTCAAGAATCCTGCAGGAGGGGTGTGGTTATCTACGCTAGGCAAGACCTTAGAGCCAGCCAGGCGAGGGTACAGGGAGAGGATGTCTTTGAAGAGTCCAAGTGGTGTAAAATTAAATTAAAGGGAGGGGACTTACTTATCGTCGGGTGTATCTACAGATCCCCGAACTGTGGCCCACTAAATCAAAGGAACTTAAGAACCTTAATAAACAATGCGGCGATGCTCAACCCCAGCCACCTCCTTATCATGGGGGACTTTAACTATGGCGACATCGACTGGAGAAACGAGTCAACCCCGAATGACTTGAATAATCCTGCTACTCTTTTTGTAGAAACTCTGAGAGATAATTTTCTGTTCCAACATGTGAGAGACCCGACACATTACAGAGGGGAACAAACACCCAAGCCACTTGACCTCATCATAACAAACGAGGAGGGTATGGTGGCCAAACTGGAACACCTTGCCCCAGTTGGCACCAGTCACCATACAGTGTTGTCATTCAGATTTAACTGTTACCTAGTTCAAGATAAGGCCAGGCCAAGGTGCAAATATTACAAGGGAAATTACAATGGGATGAGGGAAGAGATGAGGGGTATCAACTGGCCTGACTTATTAAGGTACAAGAACGCAGACACTACGCTGAATATCATAACTAGTAAAATGACCCATTTGATCGATAAATATATACCCAAGACCAAACCCAGTGCTTCTAGGAATACGAGGGGATCCCTACACATGAACCATGCGGCGGTCGACAAAATTAAGAAGAAAACCCAGAAATTCAAGACGTGGGTTGGGTCAAACGATGAGCAAGACAGGAGGATGTATGCAAGAGCCAGAAACCAAGCAAAGATAGAGTGTAGGAGGGCTGAAAAGGAGTTCCAAAGGCTGGTTGCACGCGAGGTCAAGTCAAACCCAAAGGCGTTTTACCGCTATGCAAAGTCGAAATTGAAAACGCGAGTAGGAGTATCAGACCTGAGGCTTGAAGATGGTAGTTACGCAGATTCTGACCAGGATAAAGCTGAGGCATTGAACAGCTTCTTTTCCTCAGTGTTCACAAGAGAGGATGCAACTAACCTTCCTGCGTTTGAGGACAGACGGTTCGACACAGCACTGACCCACATTGTGTTCACAGAAGAGGGTATTAGAAATAAACTGTCCAGGCTAAAGGTCCATAAGAGTCCTGGACCTGACATGGTGCATCCTAGAGTGCTAAGGGAGCTGTGCAACGAGCTTGCAGAGCCCCTGAAGATTCTGTTTTGTAAATGCCTGGATGAACAAATGGTCCCCAGTGAATGGAAAGTGGCTTATGTGAGTCCTATCTTCAAGAAGGGCGATAGGCACTCCACGAACAACTATAGACCGGTGAGCCTGACCAGCATAATATGTAAAGTACTTGAGAGTATTATCAGAGATGCAGCGATGGAACATCTACTACGAAACAACCTTGTAAAAGATTGCCAACACGGTTTTATGCCGGGGCGCTCTTGCTTGACACAATTGCTCAAGGTATTGGATATTTGGACCCATATTCTAGAACGGGGTGGTAATATCGACAATATTTACCTAGATTTTGCCAAGGCTTTCGACAGTGTACCCCACGAAAGGCTGAAAATCAAACTGGAAGGGTACGGAATTCGGGGAAATGTCCTAGCGTGGATAGAAGACTTTCTACATGACCGCAAGCAATGTGTGGTGATTAATGGCACGAAATCGTCATCTGTACCTGTAACAAGTGGGGTACCGCAGGGTAGTGTATTGGGCCCGCTGTTGTTTGTTTGTTTCATAAATGATATGCCTGACGTTGTACACTCCTCCATACAAATGTTTGCCGATGACGCCAAGTTATTTCGGGAAATTAAGAACCAAGCGGACTGTGAAGAGCTGCAGAAGGACCTCTGTGGGCTCCAGGAATGGTCGAAGGAATGGCTGCTGAGATTCAATGTCACGAAGTGTAAGAGGATGCACCTGGGGCGTACCAACGGTAAGGAGGCGTACCATATGTCCCAACGGGATGAAGAAAATGTACTAGTTGAGACTGTGTGTGAGAAGGACCTAGGTGTGTATGTTGACAATGAGCTGAAGTTCTCGGGCCATTGTGAGAAGAAGGTAAATCAGGCAAATAAATTATTGGGTCTTATAAGAAGGTCGTTCAGATATCTAGACGGTCCGTCCCTCGTGACGATCTTCAGGAGTGAAGTGCTTCCCCATCTGGAGTACTGTCACCCCATCTGGTCCCCGAGATATGCTAGGGACTGTCAGTTGGTTGAAAATGTTCAAAGGAGGGCCACCAAGCTGGTGCCTGCACTTCGGCATCTCAGCTACCCTGCGAGATTGGAGCGCCTGAACTTGCCTAGCTTATACTACAGACGGGCAAGGGGGGACCTAGTTGAGGTTTATAAGCATCTCAGGGGGCACTACTCAGTTGAGTGTCCTTACTTGGAGCTGGCGGACGCTCGCCCCACAAGGGGTCACAGCTCAAGATTGAAGAAGCCGCAAGTCCGGAAAACCGTGAGGGCAAACTTTTTCGGAGTGAGGGTTGTAAACTCTTGGAACAATCTACCAGAGAGTGTTGTGACGGCACCGAGTGTGAGCTCTTTCAAGAGAAGACTTGACCAACACTGGAGCGGGTTCAGGTACATTCAGGAGCCGGTGCATGCCCAGTATTTGCCAACAGTGCGTGACAGAGACGTGACCGATCGCCCGGGCGGCTAGCGAGCCGACCTTTTGGTGAAGAATATAAAGGAAAAGAGTCGTGACCGATCGCCCAAGCGGCTAACAAGCCGATCAGTGGCGAAGAGGATAAAAGTAAAAAAGTAAAGTCATGATATGGTCATGTGAAAGCGTTATAAGTCTATCCCGGCCGATTTCCACCCTGCGAGACAGCATATTTCAGGTTCGGTTAGGTTATAATATAAACCCATCAGTTTTAACGTAATCAGTCAATTCCCGGTGTCTTTTCGTCTCGTTTTTGCCACTTTTAGCCGTGTGTGTGTGTGTGTGTGTGTGTGTTTTCCTTCTGGTATCCACATTCTTGGCTGGTCTCGCCTGGGAGGAGCAGAGCCACTACTTCCGGAGTCTAATAGAGTTTTATGCCGCGTCCACAACTATACAGTACTATATCAGTAAATTAAATATATACTGACGATAGATATATGAAAATGACGAGTTGTGATTTGGGTTTGTTGTCTGTATGTCTGGATAACAGATTTTAAGCTTTGAGTGGAATTCTTGTATCGATGATTAAATTTCCATTAAAAAAAAAGAACTGATGTGCTCACAGCAACAACGCTACGGCTGGGGACAATACAAGTGTAGGAGAATACTGTAGTACTATTAGTAACTGATGGAACACTTAACCTAAGCTCACTGATGGAACACTTAACTTAATCTAACCTAACGCAATATTCTGGAATGCTAAATATGCCCAAATCTCCAAGAAAATCCAACCAAACATAGAATCATCCCTACCTGGTAAGAATCCATTGCTTATTATGATTTAATTGGTCAATTATCTCTTAAAAACCCTTGACTTAATATAGAGGAATAATAAGCAAATACTGTGAAAAATTAACCCCAGTTCGATAGCCTATTTAGTTACAGTGGCGAGTTGGTTACAGCGAACGCGATGAACCACCTAGGCAGTACAGTATTTTCGCGTCGCCTGTAATTTCGAGTAATCTTGGGTAATGTGTGTCAGGTTGTTAGTAGTTAAAGGCGGGTCAAGAGACAGTGTATTGTTGCGTGATTACCGTTGACAAGGTGATGGTCGGTGCTAGTGATGAATTGGTCCCTTGTTGGTATGTATATATATAAAGAACATGGTATAGCCTATAACGATGTGCTGGTGGAACAACGGCGCGGCGTCTGATTGGCTAATGTGCTGACCAGTGAGAGAATAGATTGAATCGATACCAACGCCGTGCACGAGAACGAAAAAAAAAATATATAATATCACATATAATTATTCTTTAACTTCATATATACCATATTTTATACTGTGACTCGTCTGCCATTGGTTAACGAATTAGCCAATCAGACGCCCTTTGTACCCAACACATGATTAAGATGACTTTGTTAGTAGTACTTTACGTCTTGTGTCGTTTGTAATTGTTGAAGGGGTGATGATGGGGGGGGAGGGGAGGGAGGTTGCCTACGTGTCCCCATTGTCTAGGGTATCAAAGCTCTGTGTTTAAGTACTTACGAGTTTGTTTATCCGTCAAGCCAGTCATTTAGAGAGAGGTGGAGGGGTAGCTTGAGTACGATAGTCACCCCGGCCAGATACTATAGTCACTCTCGCTCTGGATCTCTGTTACAGCATAGAGCACTGTCAAACAACCTACTGCTCTGTTTATCACTCATACCCACACACATACCTACACCTATACCTCACTCATACCCACACTCATACCCCAAATACATACCCACATACATACCTACACCTCATACCTA